CCGGGGCCTGCGCCCAGTGTCCCCTGGGACTCGCTTCCCTCTCAGGACGCCTGCCCCGAGCTCCCCCACCCGCCCGACTGTTGTCCCCGCTCCCTTCGCTGTGAACAATGAAGAATTCACTGCGGGTGCCAGCGTGCGCCTTCTGTAACACACTCTGACACAGAAGGAGAATTTTAATAAGCCCTCCAAAGGGTCTGGGGCCGGTTTTAGAGGCAAGGTTTCCTACAAAGGAAACGCCTGGAAACTCCCGAGAGAAAGCTGTTGGAAACACCCCCGGTGAGGGGAACCGGTGTCGTCCCGTTTTATTGTCTACCTGTCACCACAGCCGTCCCTGATTCTGACAGGCTGCTCTTTCCTCCTGTAGCCGGTGCTGCTTAATGTCATTTTCTTGGTCGAATGTCTTTATTTCTGACTTGTTACGAACCATTAACTAGTTTCCAGTTTTCAGTGTCCTGGCTACTTTTGACTAGTAAGTCATTTGGCATAACAAGGTTTCCCTTGATCTTCTTGCTAAAGAAAATCTCTACGTGAAATGATCCATCTTCCTATTTTCATGACTCCTGGCAGATAGGAGGCCTGTCATCGGATGAGAGGCGTGTTTCCTGAGAGCATATTCCAGCTCACATAATAGAACACGACAGGCAACTGGGTCACCATGAGGCTGCAAGGCTTCGAGTCATTTAAAAGAGCAGAGCATTTTACAGATATACCAACTTGCGGCGGTTTCACATAAACATACTATGTGTTTAATTAGATTTCCTGGATGAAATGTTTTCAAACATAAAAATTTTTTGAACCTATTTTGAAAAGCATCCAGCCGTTTAATAGTTGTCAATCTTTAATAACACACTTTTAAGGGCAGTTACTTGTAGCATTGTTAAAATGAAGACTGGCTGCTTTGGACATTGAGGTTAAAAATAATATATTCAGACATGTGGCTTGATGACATGTTGCTAAACCATTAGAAGCAACTTAGACTTTAGTTTGCTTTTTTTGCATAAAGCTACTCACACATGAAATGAATGTAACTAAAACTTAGACAGCCTTTTCCTAGATTACTCTACAGTATTCAAGGTTTAAAAATATACTTTAAGAAAGCACTTAAATGTTATGAGCAAATCTATTAATGAAATATTATACTGTTTAAATCCTTAGTAGGAATATTTATGAATTCTTGCCTAATTAATGGATTAAGGAGTTTTAAAAAAATCAGTTACTGACCTAGCAATTCTACCACTAGAACTATCGTGGGGAAATCTGTCTTAGTAAAATAGTTGAGCAGGTACACAGCATATACGTCCAGTGTGTGCAGCATTGTTTTTTAATTGTGAAAAATCTGAAATGGCTTAACAATTTATTAATGATGGAATAGATAAATGAGCTATGGTGTGTACCTCTCTATAAAATGGAAGACTGTATTGCTGTTTAAAAAATGAGCTACAAATGTATGTGCTGATATGAGGAACATCTTCGACATATTGTTGAGTGAAAAAAGCAAACAGTATATAGGGTGCTCTACTGTTTTTGAGGATAGAAGGAACTCTCTTTTCCCACCTCCTCTGTCTCTGTATAAGCATAGAACAGTCTGGAAGGATACACACCAGCCAACCTCTGGGTGTGAAGGGAAAACAAGAAGAAAGGCCTAATCATTTGCTCCACATTGTTTGAATTTAGGTCCTCAGATGTTTATAGACAATATGAGCTCCCTTGACAATATGATTAAGTAATTT